GCCCTGGGCCACCCTCATTCTCCAAGCACACCTGTACCCCTAAACCCCTATCGTGGGAACCTCCTCGCTGCCTTTGCCACCTGAGCAACTCGCTGTGCCAGCTGGGCACATCTGACAACACCATCGGAGTCAAAGCACACAGAGACCAAAGATAGTCACAGTGTGCCAGCTTGATTGAGCACTTAGAACTTTTAACTGGCAAATTGTCATGCTTATTGAAGTCAGAGAGATTAAGGAATCTCTGCCGAAGTTATGAATCAAACTTGTGTCAGTTTGTGATCTATAGCAACCATTTCAGATTTGCATATCTGAAAAATACACCCACAAAAACACTTTTCCAACCTCACATCACAGTTCTCCCTGCATACACACAACCTCCCTCGTGCACCCCTACCCTCTAAATCTCCATGGCACACTGCAAAAAATGGCATCAATTAATCAACATTCATGAACCGTTTACTTGAGCTCCCCTTTGTGTACTGCAGGGCCTAATCCAGACAGAGACCAGGCTGTTCTGCAGCAGTGCAGACTGCGTCACTCCACCCTTTGTGGGAGAAACCCATCAACTGGTGTTTCAAGCAAATGTCTCCCCCACTGAGAGCCTAACCTTCCCCCTCTCTCACCATCTTCCTCTTGTGCCCTCTCAGTACTCAGGGCAGGAAGCTCTATCTCTTAGAGGAGGCCATCCATCCATCTTTCCTCTTCCAATCCAATTCACAGCCGCTCCACATGTATGAAGACATCTGTCCATATTTGATCAGATATTCCATTTTGCTGCAAATGATCCCACCCTCCATCCCCACCCATGAGGGAGGCAGCTATTTAAATGTGCTGATACTTTGCTGCATAATAACCTGCCAATTCTTTGCCTTGCAGAAGAAGCAAGTTTAATTGGGCTGTGCATTTAGAGCTCTTATACAATTACACAATTACAGCGGAGATGCATTTCTGCACGTTGCGATGTTTGCCCCAATTTACTGCACTTTTCATACAGTTTAACTCTGGTTCCCTTTTCAGAGGATGCAAATTTGGCTCATTTGGCTTCAAATGAAGCATAATTGCTCATATTGAAATCTACACCTTTCTACAAGAGGTTCCTGCCAGTTAGTTCTCATTAAACCTAAGGAGAACAAAAATTCCCAATTCCATTTCAGCACACATGCCATCTGTATCATCTTGTGTTAAAAGCAAGGAAATTGGAGACAAAATGGATGCTGAGTGCATGGATGGAAAACTTAAAAAAAATCAGTTTGTTCAAGTTTGTCAGTGCAGAATAACCTTTTTTCACCCTGAAGTCTGTTTTCTAAATTTCTCACAAGTAGCATGAATTGGAAATTTTGTAGGAATGTTTTAGTGAAAACCCCCCCACAAAAACTAAGGGACAAGGTTGATTGAAATTAAAGCTGTTTTTATTGTTTTCAAATACAGAATGTGTTTGCTGTGTGCAACCTGAAAAAGCATTCAATTAAGTGCAGCCTAATTAGTTCGAAGGGCATGTGCGGCTGGCCTCTCTACATTCAGAAAACAGAATGGTGTGTCAACCCCGACATTTGATCACCATCAAAGTGTTTTCCACTCCTTCCTCTTCTTTTATATCACTGTCTTGAAAGTTAAGGAAAAAAACTCTTTTTTAAAAAGGCCCTCTGAGTCTGAAGTGGTGGCCTGAGCCCACTCCAAACAATGCCTTACAAGATACTGTTTAAATTCATATCCGCTCTCCCTTTCTTACAGGGGGACAACACAACAAACCACTGACCCACTGATACACAATTAGAAGTGATGCGGCAGTTAAGGCTACAAGCAACTCTGTTTAACAGTCTGTCTTTGACCCTCCACCATTGAATAAATATAATGCCCCCAATGAGAGTAAGACACTGAGGTGGAGTGAAAAGGGAGCTGGGGAAGATTTTAAGCCACACATAAGTAGTTAAAGACCTTTATAGAGTATAACACCATTATCCCTGCTGAATAAAAATAGGATTTAGTGTTTTTTCCACTTAATTTAAATCAAAAGAGTCCCCACCTTACATATTGCACTGGTAATGTAATGGAGAGAGACCCACAAAAAAGGCTTTGTGGCTGTGACACCTCCTATAGTGGGACTGTGTTGTCCTGTGAGCAAAAGGGAGAGAAAGGTTTTTCTTCCCTGCGTTGCTATCTACTAACGCATTCTAATTGATGCTGCTGCATTCCTCCACTGGATGCATTCAGTGAATAACGAGCCTTGGACTGAATACCCATGAATTGGTCCCCACCAAGCAAAGCAGTAAAGCCTTTGGCCCCCCATCCCTTAGCCTCCCCGCACCGCCACCATCGCAACCACTACCAAGCACCACCTCCCCTCCAAACCTTCCCCAAAGCTCTACTCTAGCTTCACCGCCCATTAAAGCACAACCATTGTGCAGAGATGCGGTCCACAAAAGCTGTCAATCTCTCCGGGTCCTCCAAAGCTTGGACTCACACAGACTGGAGTGACAGACCTCCCCCTTCACCCCAACCCACCCATGTTCCCCCAAAATCCTCTCCCTGAAAACTTCTCAGCTAACTATCCCCCCCTCTCTTTCTCACTCTCTCCAGCCCCAGTGCACAAAGCATCAATCTGTCTTCAGCCCCAGCACCCTTGGCCCTTTGTCCCATCTGCAGGTGCCTCTGAAAGCACCCACGGTTGCCCCAGCCTCTGCGCACGCCACGCCTAGTCCAGGGACAGGAACTGCTGACAAAGGCCCAGTGTGGGAATGAGGGATGCGTGGAGGGTGGGAAGGGGTTGTCGAGGGGGGCTGCTCTAAGACAGATGGCTGGGGAAGTCTACCAACTCCTCCACAGGGGCTGTCAGTTTAAATTCAGAACTACGAAAGAGACACACGGGGGAAGAACCAGTAAAGGAATGCCCACAAAATTCTGCATCTACTGTACTCTTCACTAAGGACCAGAACACAGAACCAGCAGCCCTCTCTGGATGTCAGATACAGCTGCCTGATAGAATTCATATAATAAAAAGAGATTATGTTAACTGGACTTGTTAACAAACACTTATCACAATACAAAAACACCACATTATCTTCCAATAAATGTTAAATGTGTCTTAAATATTTTGTATTGAAGTTATCAGTACAGAATAAAATGTTTTGTATGTATTGTCATGTATTCACTTAGAGATTTGAATACAAACATCCTACCAAACACAATCTTTGAAAAAAGCCCACATGGATGCTTTGATGTTGTGTAGACGTGTAAAATCCTTCAATTTCAATCTTGAACAGCACTTGCAGCAATTATAATAATTTAGTCCTCAAAAAGCTAAAATCCAAGATTTCTGACTTCAATGAACTTAATATAAATTTAACCTGAGACAAACTGTAGTCAGCTCTGCAGTCTCGCTCCACTTTTCTTTCCTCATTGCAACAAGTTTGTTACATCTCATTGATGTTACAGGGCTGCCACCATGTGGAAATGTATTGAATTACAGAAACCAGTTGACAGGTGAATGTCTGCACCATTGAAATGCATACAACACTGAGTGAAAGTAGCAGAAAAATATCAAGGCACTACGGCCAGTTTTCTTTTTTATTAGTGCTTTGCTGGGGAGGCAGCATTACTGTAGACGATACAAATCAGATCAATAAGTTGATTAAAAAGGCTGGCTCTGTGATTGGCCTTCCTCTGAGTCACTCGAGGTCACTCTAGAAAAGAGAACAAGTGCCAAACTAAAGAATATCATGGATCTTGTAGACCATCCATTCCACAGTTAGTAGTTCCTTTAGATGCCGACTGAAGATGCCCCAGTGTTCTACTGCTCAGAAGGAGTTTTATCCCAACAGCAATTCGATTTTTTAATAAATATTTCTGATTTTTGATTTTATGCTCTTCATTCTGGTCACATTTTTAAAAATCTGTCAGCTCTAATCAGTCAGGGTTCTAAAGGCTTTAAATGGGTGCATTGTTATTTTTCTTGTCTGTACATACTGGTCGTCCTTTCTGTTTATACTGTATGTTGTGTGATGTGAGCTGGTGGCAAGTAAGTTTCCCCATTGGCGATTAATAAAGTTTTTCTATTCTATTCATATCACTAATATTTGCCGATGTGTGATTCCTAAATCTCTTTCTATGTTTTTTTTTTTTTTTTTTTTTAATGTATTGATCTTGATCTGTTTCTTTAACGATTGCAGTTTCCCGGATATGAAACTCAGTCAATTCACTTCAGCTCAGTTGGCTTTACTGGCATGACGATTTAGTTCAAACATGTTGCCAAAGCAGAAAGTCACATATACATAATAAAATATAAACAATTAACAATAAAATGAAAAAAGAGAGAGAAGACAAACAAACTAAAAACAAAATTTATCTTGTGTTTATTTTGACATGCAGTGACATATTCTCCTGCCAATTAACAATTACTAAAATAAGAAACAATAATAATTGTGATAATATCACATTTGATTATTTCATTTTAATTTAATTCAAATAACAACAATTATGTATTTCCTATATTAGACTGAGTTTTCACTTGTTGTTCTCAGTTCGTGGCATGAGGTGATGCATTTTGCTGTGATTATTTGGCATTTGGGCATTTCTCTTAGTAAGTAAGGGAGTTTCTGTGTGTCAGATTTAGATTGGAATTGAAGATGTATTTAGGAAATGGGGGAATAATTGTCTTGTAAAGTTTGTATATAGGACATGAGGTGAGAAAGATCTGTCTCTATCTGTCCTCTGTCGCATTGGGAGCAGACTCTTCTGGTAGCCAGCTCAGTCTGTGGTGACCCTTTTATTGTCAAGATGTGTGGTTGAACAGGTTGGTGGACCCAAATGCAGGACACGTAGGCTGAATGATACAGTTCAAAGATTTATTGCAAGGCAAACTAAAAGCGAGCACACTTACAACTTGAGAGGCTGAGTCCAAAGAAATCCAAATTAATCAGAGTCCAAACAAATAAGGCGATCAAACAGAAAATCCAGAAAGGGCATAATCCAAAAAACACAGAACATACAGGAAGAGGCAGGGCATGAGGCAGGGCATGAGGCAGGGCATGAAGCAGGGCATGAAGCAGGGCATGAGGCAGGGCATGAGGCAGGGCATGAAGCAGGGCATGAGGCAGGGCATGAGGCAGGGCATGAAGCAGGGCATGAAGCAGGGCATGAAGCAGGGCATGAGGCAGGGCATGAGGCAGGGCATGAAGCAGGGCATGAAGCAGGGCATGAGGCAGGGCATGAAGCAGGGCATGAGGCAGGGCATGAGGCAGGGCATGAGGCAGGGCATGAGGTAGGACGAGACAGCGCATTACCAGCTACAAACCACTTCAATGACCGGACAAAGACTGAGGGAAACAAACAAACATATATATATATATACACACACACACACACACTAGACAGAAAACAGACTGAACAGCACTAAAGGCACAGCGTAGACTACAAACTAAAACAGAGACTATGGCGACAGAGACTATAGAGTGTATTGTACAGTATATTGTAGCGAACACATTCCCTCTGGCTGCTTCACCTCTTCAGTTTGACATCCTAATATTTTTTTTTACTTTTTCATTCATTCAGAATTCAAGTTTAGGAAATAAGCACATTCAGTAGCTGTTCTGGAGCTTTCAACTGTATCACATGAACTTCCTGTTCAGGGTGGCATATGATAAGGAACATCATGTGATGTGACTGAAAGCTCCAGAGCACTTCTGAATGTTTGTTTGTTATTTTGTCAACTTGCATTCTATTCTAAAGGAAGTTTAAAGTCTGTATAAATATTTAATGTGATAATGAATCCACAGTTTATGTGATATATATCTCAGTGCTTTAGATTTTTGCAAACTGCCTTATCCTGCATGAAATCAAGTCCTCTTAGCAACTCTGCAGCTAAATCAGTACTTCTTCGGTCTTTCTGTAAATGATCGGGGGAAAGGAACAGTTACATTCAATTCAACAATTAGTAAAATAAAATGAAACGTTTCTTCATTTGGCCACATGGTGGAGATAGAGTCAAACTCACAGCTGTGTATCTGTTTATTGGCAATGGCGTGACAGATCATTCCTCCATATGCAATCATCAAATTTCTCTTACTTTTTATTGCTTTTATTGGTGAGTGATACATTATAAAACTATGTGTACGTCCCTTATTCTGAAATAAATAACAGAGTTAACACTTTGACTGACTGTATAATTTCTCTAAAATTATACATTTTGACAGCAGTAACATAGTATGATATAACAAATTGTGATTAGTTTTTATGATGGGTAAAGTAGCTACTCACGTGGTACTGAACTATATTTAAGGTGTTGATTCTCTACCATACAGTTTATGTAAAATCTAACAAAATCTTAATAATTAACCTTTAAGGAGACTTCTAAGTAGATTTCATTAAGGGGATTCTTTATTCTGTCTGGCCTGCTTGTAATACTTTAAGGCCTGTCCCACCCGATCCCCTGCCCCTTAGGGCCGCTAGCCCCCATGCCTTGTTGGCGGACCGACCGGCTCCAGCCCCGCCGGAGGTCCGGCTGACCCCTGCTCCTCGCACCAAGGCCCTCAGCCCAGCAGCCTCGTCCCTGACTCCCCCCGCTGCTGTCTCGCTGCCAGCCCCTAGCCCGGCTCCCCGGCCCCTGGAGGGGTCGCCACGCCCGGCTCCCCTTAGCCCGTCCTTCGGGCCGCCTGCCCGAACTCTCTGGCTTGTCTCGCCCCGCTCCCCGTTCCTCTGGAGAGGTCCTCTCGCCCCTTAGCCCAGCCCTCGGGCCGCCCGCCCGAACTCTCTGGCTCCCCTGGTCTGCCCTTGGGCTGCCCGCCTGCCCTTCTTGGCTCCCCAGCTCTGTCCTCGGGCTGCCCGCCTGCCCTTCCTGGCTCCCCTGCTCTGTCCTCGGGCCGCCCCCCTGAACTCCTTGGCTCCCCTGGTCCGCCCGGACCCTCAGGTCCCTCTGCTTTGCCCTCGGGACGTCCGCCCGGACCCTCAGGTCCCTCTGCTCCGCCCTCGGGACGTCCGCCCGGACCCCCTGGTCCCTCTGGTCCGCCCTCGTTACGTCAGCCCGAACCCCCTGGTCCCTCTGCTCCGCCCTCGGTACGTCAGCCCGAACCCTCTGGCACCCCGTCTGAACTCCCTGGTACCCCAGCTCTACCCTCTGGCACCCTGTCTAGCCTTGTCTTCAGTTCAGCCCTGCCCGTTCCCCTAACCCTTCCCAGTCCTGAAGCCCTCCCTGAATTCCCTGTGTTTTGTTTTGGACCCTGGACACCCACTAGCCGGACCCCAGTGCGACTTCCTCCCCCCCGACGTTCGTCTGCCAAGCCCCACCTAGTCCAGTGGGAAGGCCGCCGGGAGGCGTCCGTTGAGGAGGGGGCCCTGTTGTGGTGGCAGCCCGGCTGACGGTGAGTGTCCTGTTTTTTTTTCTCCTTTTTCCTTGGTTTTCTGTTCCCTGCCTGCCTCCCTGTGTTTTCTCCCCTGTGTGTGTGCTCTCTCTCCCTCTGCTCCTGAGCCCAGCCAACAACCCGCACCTGCACCTCATCAGCCACCTCGTCAGCCTGCCACACCTGCCAGTAGTCAACCTCATCCCTGCCTGTATTTCAACCCCGGTTCTCCACACCACTCTTGCTTGATCGTCATTCCTCACCCAGGTTCACTCACCCTCGTCCTCCGTTCAGTCGGCTGGGCTCATCCACCGGTCCTCTCCTCCTCGGACTTCCCCCACGGCGTCCTCCCTATTCTCCCTCATTTCCTCAGCCCCAGTGTTCCCCGGCTCCCTGGTCCCAGTCTCCTCAGTTCCCCGTGCCTGTGTTTCCCCGGCATCCACCTCTCCCTCCACTCCAGTCCCTCTACCCCTTTTTCCCTCAATAAACCTCCTTCCCTCCGAATGTTGCATTTGGGTCCTCTCTGTCCCCACACCACACGTAACACTATTCCACATTTTGCTAAGCAAGCGTTTTGTGCAAAAGGCCTTGTCCATTATATGTGCCTGTCCCAAATATAGGCAGGGTGAGTCAGTGACTGAAGCAAATAAAAGCCAGGGCTATCAACTGTAGTATCTATGTTTTGGTCACTGCACTGTAACGACTCTTTCGCTCTTCCTCAACTTGTTTAGTTTTCACAATGAGGACATTTCATTTCCAGCAAGGAAGTCATTGAGGAAAAAATGCAAATTTGGTGCCACATGCAAATAGCTGCTAAGGGGACTCTATGCTATGACACATCCAAACACAAATTAACTAGAACCACAGAAGTGTCAGGTGTGTGCTTGTAGTTTGGGCACTGTTTTGATTTCAAATGTCTTGCGTTTTGGGGTTAAAAGTTAAGACATTATTCTTTTATTTTTTAGTGATTACATCATTTATGACTCAAAATAACATGAGTCAAAATTTCAATGTAGTTTTTCAGAATGTCACAGAAAAGTAGTGTTTTCTGTGACATTGATAGGAATGTTAAGGCAACTTAAGGTAACTTAACATTCCTATCTAATTTTGCATCTCAGTCTTAAGAATGCAAGCATCTAAAGCCTTTGATGACGCTCACCAAGATCTAATGCAGTGTTAACGACAGCTCTTATAACACAGTTATTTCCCGTTCTCCAGAATTTTAGCTTGTCCTGCATTTCTTTGCTTCAACTTGTACCACAATAGCACACACTTTCACTACATCTGCACATTAGACCTGATGACACCAGTAGTCAAGCCACTAAGTAGTTTCTTATAAACCAAATTAATCCAACATCAGAATTCAAACTTTTCGGTCTCCCAAACTTCACATGATATTCTCTCTGCTAATATAAAGCATAAAGCAAGAAGCAAGAAATGAAACCTTAGAGGCAAAGATTTGTGCAAACTTTTTTCTTTATGAGTGCGAAACAGTGATTCCGCCTGCTTAGCAGCCTTTACTCCAACTTGTGCAAAATGCAGGGCAGTCGCCAATATTATTTCCAAAACAAAAAGATCATTTTGCATAATTTTTGACATGTTAACATTTATTTTTTAAATGCACCGCACTGAGTTGTGTTAGACCTGACATTTTTGAGTGAGAGAGCATTTAAAGGCCCCTGAGTAAATGTATATTTATATAATGATCTTTTACAAAATGTCTTTGACCCACCTTTAATGGTTTACTTGAACACAGGTGCACTTCTTGCCTTGGCTTTAATGTTTTACTGTTAATGTTATTGGCTTTTGTCTTATCTATAATGATGCCATTGCAGCTGAGAGCACAAAATACTTCTCATAACATAAGTGATTTCTAAAAGATTACCTGTTGTATGTTCTCTGAAAGAGAGGGGGGTTACCACTTGAGGGGACAGTCACATTTTAAGACTCCCAGTATCCGAACAACCAGGAAGGGTTTATCTGTCTAGGGTGTTAAATTGTGGAAGAAATGAAATGATAAATTAAGAAAGTGCAAACATATTCCGTTTTTAAAAAAAGTTCAAAGACATTACATTCAAGAGGTACAGAGATGAAGTAAGGTTCTAATAATCACCTGGGGTTCTATTGAAATTATATTATGTGTACAAATATCATTGTGTTTGTGTGAATATATGTATGTGAATATAGCTACACTATGTATTTTCTTCGATTATAGATTTATTATTTTGTATTATTGTTAATTATAGCATTTAGGGTATTAAGTGGTAGGAGTACATAAGTTTTACTTCTTCCTACTCCTTTTCTAGTACTGGAAATTAAGGAGTTTTTGTTTTGTTGTTCATTTGTTTTTTACCACTATTTTTTTTCTCCTTTACATGTTCAAAATAAAGATATCAATCAATCAATCAATCAATCAATCAAAAAAATACATATATTTCCAACTGCATCTTAGAGTTGTGCTGAGATATTTGTATAATATATTATCCATCACTTTATTATAAGGGAAGGCCTAAGATGCTATCGAGCAGTGGTGGAATGTACCTCAACTTCTCAAGTATTGTACTTAAGTACAATTTTAAGGTACTTGTACTTTACTTGAGTATTTCAAGTTAATGTGTCAATTATTATACTCAAATAATATAATAGGCTATAGGCTATATGATTCTTAAATAGGCCATTCTGCACAATGAGTAATTTTTCCTTTGTTAATTTAAGAATTGTGATACTCACACTTTTGTACTTAAGTAACATTTTGAATTCAGGATGTTTACTTGTAACAGAGTAGGTATTTCTACACTGTGGTATTATTACTTTTACTTAAGTAAAATATCTGAACACTTCGTCCACCACTGCTCTAGAGAATTCCTTCTGCATCGTCTATCCACAGAAGAAATGCATATGAGGCTTGTACTCAATGCTCAATTATCCTTGAAGTGCAATCACAAACTGCTACCTCTCTCATGCTAATTTCTTAACATGCAGTAAAAGATTGTAGTTCAAAATTCAGACCACATTACCCATAATTCAGTGTGACGCAAAAGTCGCCGCACCTTCACCGGGTGGAGCTTACGAACGTGGGAACGTTTGTGGGTTGCTGCGGGTTGCTGGAGTAAAAATTGTTTGACAGGGAGGTGAGGCGACCTGTGCACAGGGACCTGAAAAGAGAAGTTTCTGTAGCGTGTCATTGTCAGTTTCCGAGCCAACGGGGAGGCAGACTTGATAGCGACAAATGATTTTGACGAGTCTAAGCAACAGGGCACAGAGGGAAATGTCAGGGACTATAACAGCCTTGAGCAAAGGGAAGCGCGACTAGTAACACCGCAACGCGGAAAATATTCAGGGGGGTGAGAATGCGAATGGTGCGAAGATACCGAAATCAAACAAAATGGAAACGATGTAGCGTCGCTGCCGCATTTCATATAGCTAGAACTAACGTTAGAGTAGAGAATAGATAGCTAAGGAGCTAGCAGTTTAACTAACATACATGTAAAGTTCTTCGTCGGAGAAGCTGAAGCTGAGCCCGGAGGCGTCTGTGGAATCAGAAGAGTTCATCCGCGTTGTGAAATCAAAGAAGATAAAAAAGACGATGCTACGGAGGAGACTGAACCGTTTGGTATGTGTTCCTCGCATCTACACACACACGCACACACTGGTAGCTTATGACAGCCTGCTGCTCCTGCTACCATTTTTTAATGCTGCGATTCCAACCTGAAAGAATGTAAACTGGAATTTCCCCTTCAGTGTTTTGAACCGCCTGGCTCAGAGCAAACTGTTACTTCACACTGCCTGACAGCACGAAGCAGCTGTTGTCTCACACCAGTGCTCTTGTTTCTCAGCCAGTTAGCTAACTGCTAGGTAAGTTATTGCCAGGCAGGAAGTCACGACAGATGCAAGCTGATGTTAGCTAAACTCGGAGTCATTAATTAAACTACAGTTTCAGGTCACACGCTGCAGCGCTTATCTGACATGCGTAGTTTCCCGCCATGTAAACAGGTACAGTGAGAGCAGTGTCCCACCTGTAACAACCTTGCAACTAAAGCCCCGGCGGGGCGGGGGGCTAACTGTTACCTGTCTCAAAAGACGTGGAGTGCTTTTCTCTGGGGCCTCAAGTGCTAAAAATATGCACTCTATTTAAAGGCACTGTTTCGACTTCATGGCAAGCCATTACAGTTGAAACAGTTATTATTGGCTAGTCAGAAAATCAATCTGTAACAAAACTAATTTGATAATCCATTAATGGGTTCAGCCATTTAATAAGCCAAAATACAATATATATAACTTGTTCTTAGATGTTAGTATCTTTGGATTTTGGACCAAAAGACATAAAGATGTCACCTTGGCCTCAGAACTTGTGATGGGCGTTTTATGCTGGTTAATAGAAAGAAGAATCAATAGATAATCACCCCTCCTGAGGATGCATTATAGTTGTTTCTAGTTGTGCTACAGTCCCTCTGTGCGCTATTTCTTTGTATCCAGAGGCTGTATTTGTTCAAAATAAGAAGTTGGTATTTGAACTGCTTTGATTTCATATTTCACGATTGGTCAATTTAATGCTTACCCTTTTTAATGTTCATCCACTGGTTTCATTGCCTTCTCATATGTTAATCAGTAATGAGTGGGCTAGTTGAAAGTGGAGTAACTATCTGCCCTGGCCAGGTTTTTAAATGCTAAACTGACTTTATTGCCTCTTTATCATCCTCTTATGCACCAGTAACCTGTTGTCACCAGTGGGTAGAATCCTCCACAGGCTATATGAGCAGTATAGATACCGACAGTGAATAAAGGGAAGCAATATAATAATTATAGTGCCTGACCCTCCTCCTGGCCTCTCTCTAAGTGTTGCCAGGTCAGCTGATTTTCCTGCTTCTGGAGAGTATTGCTGCTGTAATTTCTCTTCAGTGTGAGCTGTAAATAATATTTTGTGCGGGGCAGCCAGCCATGCTGTCATTGATGCACACAGTGCTGTTATCTCAGGCTCTGGCTTCTCTGCCTCCTGATTCACACCACCCTCCCTTTGCCCACGGGAGGTATATGTGCATTATGAAGAGGGAGAACGATAGAGAGGGCGAAGAGGGCTTGTACTGAAAGGCACTGAGGAGGCTTCATGTGTCTCACTTGACTCTCCCACTGTGGTGCACTGAGTGTGTCTTTGGAAAATCATTAAAGATGGCAGTGGGAACGAGTGGGGCTGGGCTTTTCATCAGGGGGAAGCTCCAGAGGTTGTAATGCTCTGACAGGAATGCAAAATCACCCAGTTGCCTTTGATGTTCATTCAAGCCCTTGAAGGCAGCAGTATGATCTGTGAGAGGTGGAGCCTGGCAGAAATGTGATGGTATTCATTGTGGGAGCCCCTGCCTTGACTATAAGAGAGAACAGCACCGACACATGGAAACACCATCGCCCAGGCAGCACCTCAGTATCTTTTCTTGCACCATGGTAACCACTAACCAGTACGCCTCCTCCTACACACTAGCTCAGTTGTAATCACTCATATGCTGATTTAGATTTTGACTCTGTTGTAGTATGGTAGCAAATACTCCTTCTGCTCAGTACTGAAGTACATCCAAGCTACTGTAAAGTGGATGAGTCCTGACTATACCAGTGGGAGGTTGGAAGCTCAACAGGTGCGCATAATGGCAGGAAATTGTCACGCTGACACAAACGGATTTGGATTATGTAATAATAGAACTTTAGTGCTGAAAATGATTAGTCATTTAATTGATTAATTAATTGATTAATTCCTCTAGTAAAAGTATTTTGATAATACGTTAATTATTGAAGTGCTTTTTCAAGGCAAAAATGCCAAACTTTCTCCAGTTCCTGCTTCTCACTTGTGAGGATTTGCTGCTTTTTTGTCAAATGTGATAGTAAACTGAATCTTTTATTTTCTCTTCTCTTGCATACAAAATACTTAGTTGAGAAAATAATTGGCAGATTAGTTGATGATAAAAAATAATCATTATAATACATAATAATTACTTGAAGCCCTATTATTAATGACAAGTTAAAAAAACAGGTAATTCACACTTTCTGTGTGAAGGATAAGATGTGATGGTTGATTTTATTTAGCATCATATGCCAAGAGCTGGGGAAGGGGTATAATATTTACAAGAACTAAACTTTGATATTCTCTCTGAAAAATTGTTTTCTGGGTTTCTTAAAGTCATTAATAATACAAGATAAGAGTCAGTGCAGAAGTAAGAGAAGAGGTGGAGCTTTCAGACCAATAGCCAGATATGAGGGACTGCAACAAAGTCACATGAAAGCAACATCTTTTATAAATATCTGCAGCTCTCTTTTCATGCTTTTGGTCTTTGAATATATACCGGTTGGTGAAAGTTACCTATATGTGACGGCTGTTGTTATTAACATCTTTAACAACTTTAAACGAGTACAAAGCATTTAATAACACAAGCACATCTGGGAAAAAAGTTCCCGCAAATGTATGACTTTATAATCTCAGAATATTCAATATATTGTAAACTTGTAAGTTGTTTCCCTTAAATCTGCAATATTGTATTTGTTTTACCTACAATGGCTCTAATACTGCGTTGTGTATATAGGCACAAGTTGTAGACTGCTTAAATACTGTAATGTCCTGATTCATATAAGAACTCCAGGGATGTAATGACATTTACACATCGCCTTTAACATGGAACACCCACCTTTTAATGTTATGAGTGTGTTCTGGTCTGACATAGATTTGAAGGACACATTTTGAGGGGGATCTTAAGGAGTTTTAGGGGTTCACCATGTAACTCTCTATCATGCTAACTCAGTTGTGTTTTAGCTCAAATATGTTCTGCTTCTGCTCAGGGTGCAGCAACACCTCCTCTTTCTAAGTAGGGTTTCCCTCTCACCCTTCTGCCCTCCTCTCCATCTCTCTTCATTCTATTCATCCTGCCGCAGGCTGATGCACTGAGGCCTGCCAGTCTCAGATCTGTCTCTACTTGACTGTGAGGCACTAGTAAGCACGCCCTACCTGGCAGGAGATGTTGTTATGTGTGAGCGGTTTGAAGGATTGCATGTCGAATGCGCTTGGAAACTCCAGGGCTCTGTAAACCTGTTGCGCAGGTCAGCTAAGAGCAGGTCTAAGATGAACACACAAACCTGCACTCACTCACTAACACAACTTAGTGCAGACAGTGCTCACATGCATACAGACCACACATACCCGCACATTAAGTTGTTTTGTGCAAGGGTCTTTTGCTAACGTAAACACACAAGGTTAAATGTATTGGATAGGCTTTATACGGGATCGCTCTTCCCAGGGGAAGCTAATGTCTTGTTCAGCGGTATAGGATATTTTTTACCTGCTGCCGTACAATACAGTATTTTCATTCCACCCCGAAGTATTGGGGCAATGAATCTAATTTACAGCATTAAAAGCACTCTGTAATGTCATATGTACCTCATGCTTTTTTCATTACTGTATTTTGGTTTTGGTGCATTATCTGCTGTGCTTCAAAATGCTCCAAATGTATTTTCTATTTTGCATTCAGGTCAGTCTTGCTTTTCTGTACTTGTGTCCGTGAGCAGTTAGTAGCACCTGTTGGGAACATATTAGGGGCTTTTATTAATTGATGAGATACAGGAGTCCTCAAACAGAGATGTCACTTTTAGGTGAGTCATTAGGGTGAGAGTACATCTGAAGGCCACAGACCATATAAGGCATATAGGGCCGTTTGATTTATCAGGTCTGTTTGATTAGGAGAGATGCATATTGATTAGAGCTGTGCTCAGTTTTGCCGCCATTAGTCTTAGGCCGTGAACTGGGTGGCGAACATAATTGCTTACTCTGATTTCTTTGTCTTCCTTCCTCTCTCCATCTGGTCCCCTGCATTCTGCCCAGTAATGGAAAGCCAGCCAAAGGAGCTCATCTGCAACACACAGCACGATAATAAATATATTTAGTGTGAGGAGGGAGGCAGTGCGAAGGAATAGACGGCGGGCTGTGGGATTGCGGGCTGATGAAATATAGCGTGGGAGTACGGAAAGCCCTGCGTGACTGGACCTGTAGTCTCTTTGCACCTCTCCACCTCGTTCTCCACCTAATGGACACTCTCTCAGGCTTCCTCTAGTGGTTAACATCGGAGTGGGCAGGTCAGGCTGGATACAAGGGGACCATGGATGGCTTTTTGTGGCAATTTTCCTCTTCCTTTTAAAAGCTAGGTTGAATCCTCAGTTTGTACCTCTAAATAATTCAGGTTGCTTCATTTATTTTGAATTCTCCTCACGTCGCTCCTCCCTTTCCTGACCCACGTATCTTCGTCAGGCTAGTGGCACTCAAAATGCATCCTCATCATCCATATATGTATAAAGGCTCATCCAGAGATTTTCTGTGCCATGCTCTAGCTCTAGCATTACCCAGAGAGCATTCGCAGTAAGATGTGAAGAGAATGCTGAGATGTGTGTGTGGCGGGGGTGATAATGTTTTTGTTTTTTGTTTTTTTGGTCTGTGCCTATGTCTCACTCTCTGTGTCTGAGCATGGAGGGAGAAGGAGAAACGCCAGCATCTGTGATGTTTCATCATCCCAATTTTTCATTGTCACCTGAAATGATAGGGTACCTGCTGACACAGAAAAGAGGAACAGCAACATCTATGTGAGGATT